ACCACCGTGCGGAAAAGTTCGTCTTACTTCCGTAAGACTCTTTATTTTCGTACTGAAAACTTGTCTATCATTGTTTATTTTACAAATTTTATTATTTCCAGACATTACACACAAAAAATTATTTAGGTAACCTATGACGTTTTACCTATCAACGTAAGTAGTAGCCGGTTTTACGTATGAAATCTAGTAATTTTCATGTAACTGGGTAACATGTAGTATAATTTACGGCGTATACGTCGTGAGTAAAATTAAAATGAAATACAAGAACCTCGTACTGTTGTTTTATACATATTTTTATCATGATTATTTCTTTAAATATTTTGGTATTTTATATACATAACATTATAGAAAAGAATTGAATTTTGATTGAAAGTGCTTAGTTTAGGACTGTGGCATCGGTGGTACTTTGCATGTTTTCGTGGTTTGAAAATTTCAGCAGTAAATAAATATTCAAAAAATGAGTCAATGTGAACAAAGCCATGCTATAGATGTATTGCCCACAAAATTGTTGCGCTTCGTACCAAAGTGTCAATACAACGTCTTAAAAAGATGAACCATATGTCAACAAAGGCGATTTATCCCCATAAAAAATCCTCATGGGAGTCTTATGCTTATTTTTCATCTGATCGCGATGAAACTTTCGGGAGGTATTTTTTCATGAATCATGTACGGCAACCTACTCTTCATTTGAAGTCATTCTGAATCATTTCATCATTTTCAAAAAATACATACCTTTATTTGAGAGGGGCTAATAATGACACCAAATCACAATATCATCCAAATGCACGCATAAAACTTTGAACATTCTACCAAAAACTATCTGTATTATTCATTTCACTATCAATTTTTGATTTCCTTGAAATGCATGACTCAAACTACAACGATAATACACAACAAGTGAAATAAAATGTATGCATTCATTACTGAATATCGTTTCTTTTTATAACATCGGATTCCATTTATAGTTTCAAATTGATAAAATGACCCATAAATGGAAATCGAAATAACAAAGTGAAGAATTATACAATCGACGTAGAGAAATGATAAAACATTGCATCATCATAGCTATTTTTCTATCGTTATGGACCACTTATGGTATTATTCATTGTGTTTTTTTGAGTGGCTGGTGTAAATCATGCTATAAAGTATAAGTGCCTTCTAGGAGTAGACGCCAATGCTAAAAGAAATAATCAGGGACCGGGTCGCATATAGAATTATACAAGATATTTATACTTTGTATAAACGCAGACGCAACATATCTGTCGCTGTTCGCTTTGTGCTGTGCTCAATAAATACAATGTATGTGCGTGCGTCTCTCAATGGTCACATGCACACACGAACATGTATTCGCATGCTTCATACATAGCGACCAGCGTTGGATATGTTGCGTCTGCGTTTATACTTTGTATATTTATACGGCCTGCGTTTTTTATGCTAGTATAAAATTATACGCGACCCGGTCCCTGGAATTAATAAATCTGTTCAAATCATTGCGAGCAAATTGATATTCGATTGAGATTGATGTAAATCGATGTAAATGAAGAGTCTACCCCTAGAGTGCCCTACTACAAATTTGTTTTCGATTAAATGCTCATTTAATATAGGCCTATGCAAAGTTGGTAACATTTCGTTCAGTTAGTTTTCAGTTAAATCAGCACAAGTTATTTTAAATCGTCAAAATGCAGTTTTTATGGATTTTTGTGTGTTACGCAATTATTATGTTTTGTCAAAATAACTGTGAGACAATTAAATCACATGGTGGCAAAGAAATTCATTTTGTGAGCATTTCCGATCATTTGTTAAACATTGATGTGAAGCAACTATCGACCATTTTACAAAAAGATGACATAAAAAATCGGACGATTGTTGTTGTTTCGATAGTTGGTGCAGAAGAAGGTGGGAAGAGCTTTTTAATGAATCTCTTTTTAAGATACTTGGATGCACAGGTAATGAATATTTGAAGCAAACTGAATAAATTTCAAATGATACATCAAAATAGAGTAAATTATCGAATGAACTTCTGTCTAAAATCGCCGTGTGTTACTTCGAAATTTCACGGTTAATTTATTTTCTTTCAATTAGTACATAAAACACAATGCAACCCAATGGTTAGATGTGAATAAAACTGGTGAGTCGAATTACATAAGTGGTTTCGAATGGGGAAGTGTACGAAGTCATGGCATTTCAATGTGGCCCCATATTTTCACCCATGATTTCAATAACGAGAACAAAGTGGCCATCATTCTACTCGATACGAAAGGCATCGATTCAATAAAAGGTACCACGAACGAAGATGCTCGAATCTATGCATTCGGTGCGATGGCCTCTTCTGTAAATTGCTACAATATACTTCGTCGAATTGGTTCGTCATCTTTAGAATTTTTAGACTTATTTAACGGCTATAGTTTTTTATCGTACACAAATGATGCCAAAAACAAAACCAAATTTCAAAACCGGTGGAGATTTCAAAAACTGAGTATTATTGTGCGTGATAAACCGGTGGAGATTTGGCCATTTCAATATGGACAACAAACTGAAGATGAAAAAAATAAATATTTTGCTAAAAATTACGATCAAGCGTTTGAAAAAAACGAAGAATTACGGCGAATTAATCGATATTATGAGAATATTGATTTATTTTATATGCCGTCACCGGGCGATTATGTCACACAATCCATTTATTTTGATGGCAATTTGAGATTTGTTAACGGCACTTTTTTGAAATATGTGGAAAAATTGGCCGAATCGATTTTGGCACCGATAAATCTAGTCGTTAAAAAAGACGTCGACGGTAAACCAATTCTTGCCAAACATTTTTCATCGTATTTGGAAGCATATGGTGACATGGTGAATGCGAACAAATTACCAGACTTGAAGACATACTTTCAGGTGCGTTGTAAAAGAAATCGATTTTAATTGTTTGTTTGGGGTCATGGGAACATAATATTAAAAACCAGGATTTTTTTTAATTCGTTGTTATTTTATTAGATTATTTTAGACACGAAATACAATGTGCTTCAGCAAGAATCTTTGGATTATTACACCAATTCAATGACATATAAGCTAAAAATGTGCAAATCCTACTTCAATGAAAGCGAATTTCAACGAATTCACAACCAATTCCAGAATGAAGCTTTAAATATGGTAAAGATTTAATGATGTTACTCCGAATTCCGAATTCATTGTTGTTCGAAGATTTCTAATTTCATTTCCATTTCATACAGTTTTTAGAAGAAAGGAAACTTAATACAAACGAATACCTAATGAAATTTGAAATTGATCTAAAATGTAAGATTGAAGAACGGAAACGTGATTACATTGAGGAAAATAAGGCGAAGGAAAAATTATTTCAAGTATGTTTATAATTAGAAAGACAATTTTACATGGCAAGGGAATCCATCAACGATGAATGAATGTAAGCAATGGATTTAGCTGAAAAATTAGGTTATCGTGCGTAACAACTCTCATGCACAAGTGAATGATGGATATACTTTTTCTACGCAATGCATGTATAATTTTTAAATCAATGACCCCGATTTTGGACAAGATTCATTCATCGCTTATGGATCTAGTGCCGAGAGAGCTGTTATAGGTACCGGGGAGGTGTGCGAACTTTTTTTGTAAGTGCCGCTCTTTCTTGTATTCAGGACCTAAATATTATATATGGATTAGTTACGGGCACTCACTAGTGCCTGCTCTTCTCCGGTGTCAATAACAGCTCTGATGCTCTGAATCTCCAATTTTACCTAATAATTACCATTGCAGAGTTCACTTGAAAACTATTACACGAAATTTGTTGATAAATTGGAAAAAGAATTCAAAACGAAGGTAGAATATAAGATCAACCGTGCAAATCCACATCACTTTTACGAAGTGTTTGACGAAATATCTGCGATTCTCAATTCGATTTTAAAAAAGGTAAGAGATGTGCAAAAAATTATGAAAAACTTATTTTATTGATGAAATATTCAGTAAGAATCCTGGTCTTGACTTTTTCCACAGTTTGATGATGAGGATGAATTTAAAAATTGCAATAAATATCTCAGACTCATTGCTGATTGTTATCGCAATAAACTTCGAAATAAATTGGATACGATTTTAGATCAGCTAAGGCAAATAGTGGATCTAAAAAAGAACGATGGAGTTGACATGAGATCCAATTCTGCAAGCACATTTGTATTTCTTATTGTTGGAGTTTTGGAACTAATTCGATCATATTTTTAATGATATAAGAATGAAAAGCTTATCGAAAAAGTTTGTCGAATTTTCAATGAATTTTGGAATTTTTATTAGGAAATTCTCCATAAGGAAAAGCGGCACTTTAATTCACGTGAAATATTTGAACATTTCTATTGAATTTCCAGATAATTGTTGAATTTTGTTCTTAAATTGTCTGGAAATATATCGAACTATGCCAAAGTTTGTACTTAAAAGCGGGTATGATAATAAAATAAATACCACCGCTTAAAATATTCTGAGTAAAAAACATACAAAAATGCTTCAATTCATATTTCTTTTATTTATTAATGAAAAGACATAGTTTACTTATTACAGTTGTTAGTTATAGTTGTATTGTACTATTAATGATAAGATGTTGAAAAGGGTTTCGGTTAGATAATTAATGTCATTTTTTGTGATTCAATTCCTTTCAATTCTTTTGGCGATGAACACGATTCATGTGAAGATTATCGTTGCTTTGTAGAGAGAACCGTGTATCACACCATTTGCATGCGAACGGTCTCTCACCGGTATGATGGTTACACATATGGCTTCTTAATTGCATTGAAGAGCGAACTGAAAATTGGCAGATGTAACATTCATAGTGGCGACGTTTGCAGTGCCCTTGGTGTACATTCTTATCTTCTTCATTTGCAAATCGACGACAGCATTTGATGCAACGATTTGGACGCGGTTTGGCATGAATATCCAAATGTTTCTTCAAATCACCTTTCGAAACCAATTTCTTGTCACACACTTTGCATTGAAACGGCTTTTCGTCTGTGTGTTGCCGTTGCATGTGCCGCTTCAGCAGAGATTTGGTAAAAGATTTGTGCGGGCAGATGTGACATTCAAATCGTCGACGTTTGCAATGATCCTCATGTGATTGTTTGCCGTTTTCATCTGCAAATCTTTGTCCACATTTGAAACAGTCAAATGGCAATTGCTTCACGTGAGTTCGCAAGTGACTGTTAAGATTACTTTTGAGTGAAAATATTTTGGAACAAACACGACATTTGAATGGCTTCTCTCTACTGTGGATTAGCATGTGGCGCTTGAAATTTGGCAAATTATCAGTGATGTATTTGCACTCCATGCATTCAAATTGACGGTGTTGGCATTGTTTTTCGTGCTCGATCTTATTGACATCATGTTTGAATCCTCGACGACACTTTTCACAATGAAATGGATATTCGGTGGCATGGATTCTCATGTGGCTATTCAAATTACTTCTCCGTGTAAAAGCCTTCGCACATATTTCGCATTCGAAGGGCTTTTCACGTATATGGATTCGGATATGTTCGTTGAGATGTCCTTTCCGTGATGTAGCATATTTACACAAATGACATTTGTGTTTCTTCTGATTTTTTGCTGTCGATTTCTTTACACCTTTTGACTGATTATCTTTCTTCGCTTTAGACACACAGAAATTATGCTCCATAAGAGACTGTATAAAATGCAAAACTGTAGCACTGCTAGCGCCACTACGGACAACCATGGAGTTCTAGTCCGTTGGCTGCAACTGAGCAAAAGTCTTTTCACTATTTGGCGGCAACTTAGTGTAGATTACATTGAATTCCGTCGTGGCGCTAGCAGTGTGACAGTTTAGGCATAATTTCGGTACGGCTTTAGATGTGCGACCACGTCGTCCTTCACCGGTCTATGTATTTCAGATAGATATCCATCCGAGATATTTTAGAATATCTGGATATTCAACGCAACTGCACAGCGCCAGAGCTGTGTGCGTCGCAAATAGAATCTACGGTATGTCGCGACGTATATGTGTATCAAGTGCCGCACGTACACAGTCACACTGTGTCTGTATTTTACGTGTAGCGACATACCGTAGATTCTACGTGCGATACACACAGCTCTGGCTCTGTGCAGCTGCGTTAAATATCCAGATATTTTAAAATATCTCGGATGGATATCTATCTGAAATACATAGACTGTCCTTCACTGTTTTCTTTGTTTGGTTTTGATTGATCCCGATGCTCACCATTTCTATCATCGATTCGACTCGGACCATCATCTGGTGTCGATGAGCAGTAACTTTTCTTCGAACATTCTCCTTCGTCTTCGCTCTTGATTTCTTTCTTTGCACAATCAAGATCGCATCTCGTACACAGCTCATCGTCGCTCTCGCTCTCCGATTTGATCGTTTTATTTACATCAATTGGTGTTGGCGACGGTGGAAGCTGAACTAATTCAGCTGCATCTCTTGGCTCCTCTTTGACAACAACTTCTACTTTGATGGTGACCTTCAGAACTGTGTGCTTGCATTTACGCTTCAACTTTCCTTCCAAAGTTCCTTTGGTTGTATATGGATTCATTGTGCTGTTTTCCAACTAAAGGAGGAAGAAAAAAAACAAAAGAAACTCATTTAAAATTGTAGATAGTATGGAATTTTTAATCCGGTTATTATCGATATTAGATTGTACTGATCGGAGATTTTAAGCCTTGAATCAATATAAAATTTTCGGCTATTGAAATGAGTTCCATCTATGTTAAATATTTTATTTTTCATACTGTGTGCCATGTTAAATAGCTAGTGTAGCACATCAGATATTTTTGAAATTAATGTCAATTGGTAATGACTAAACCATGAGATGGTATTCTCAAATTCTCAGAGTAGAGAATAATGGATGAATAAATAAAGAGTCTTACGGAAGTAAGACGAACTTTTCCGCACGGTGGT